CAACATTTGAGATTTACGTATATTTCTATACAGAGGAATAGGCTTACGACCTGGGGCTCGTTTGAGTTTGTAAGGCAATTGAATATTTGTATAGATTATTTTTCTGCTAAGCGCACAAAAAAGTCCAATAAAAGAAAAGAAAGACGAAAAATACCAAAAAATATAAATAAAAATGAACTCAATTTATAAATACATTTTCGTATAGTATTGAATTAATCTACATGAATGTAATATCAATATACATACTTATGACTTGCAATGAATAATCCAAATACATACAAACATTTCTATGCAATATACATATGAATATGTATATATTTATGTATATACATATTTATGTATGTCTATAGAAGAATTTTCATGTCGATTATAAATTACACAGCTCATTCTGAACTTAAGTAAAATTAGATAGCAACATTTTTCTGAAAAAAAAAAAATAAAAATCCAAATAAAAAGCAAACTTTCATAATCTTGCAGTGAAATCTCGAAACATAATTAATTAATATGCATGCAAGAACTATTCCATTTTAAACGTTATTAAGCCTCAGACAATAATATACAATATGTAAATCCATTGTAAGTGGAATTAAAAGGCAAAAATCAAAATCACTTGAACAACCTGCTTCGATAGAGGCGAGCCCTTAAAACAAAAACTAAGTGGTAGACAATTGAAACATTGATGTCAATAAGCAGCTTCAACAAAGTTTAATTCAAAACTGCTACAAAACATATTCTAGAAATAAACTTGAAAATAAAAACTAAAAGAAACTAAAACCGAAACAAAGAGACTTGCATTCAATTTTATTCCAATTAGAACAGATGCCAGACTTCATTGCTTGTTGCTTGTTGCTTTAATCAAATTGCTTGCAATTATCGCATGGCAACTGGGCGATTGATAAGATGCGCCAGATGCGCAGCAATTTCGACAAGAGCTGCTAGAGGCACCTGCGATACACTCAGGTGACACTATGAACCTTCACCCACATGGATTCTTTTAGATTTTGAGAGCTGCGTCAGCGTCTGCGTCTGTTTTCTTGGCTATATAAGCCATGGGCTGGGTGCCGAAAAGCAACAGTCTTTAGGTATTGGATTCCAGTTGTGTGTCTAATCCGGAGCAGTTAAGCAGGACGTTTCAACATGAAAATTGGTATTGCATTGTTGGCCTGTTTGGGTCTGGTCGCTGCGGCCAGTTTCCATCAGACGCACGAGGTGAAGATCGCTGACAAAGAATTTCTGGAGAAACAGAAGTTTTTGTTCGAGATCGTCTACCGTGTGGAGGATCCTCTGATGTTCGAAGAGTACATCAAGAAGGGAGAGAAGTTCTACTTTGAGCAGTCCTACTATACTGTAAGTAAATYAATTATCCTTCTAATTCACCGATTTTTAACCTTGTTCAACTACCGGGGCACAGAAATATGACAAGTACATGATGAAGTTCTATGAAGGCTACAAGGCACATTCGTTGCTGCCCAAGGGCGAGTTCTTCGGTGAGCTGGTCAAGACTCACGCCATGCAGGCACGCGGTCTCTTCAACTTCTTCTACTATGCCAAGGACTTCGAAACCTTCATGCACAACGTGTGCTGGGCTCGCATGCATGTCAATGAAGGCATGTTTGTYTATGCTCTGACYTTGGCCGTCATCCACCGTCCGGACTTCCATGGCCTGATTCTGCCCTCCATCTACGAGATATTCCCACAGTACTTCTTCAACAGCAAATTCGTATATGAGGCCGAGAAATTCGACTATGAAATGTGGACCAAGATGAACATGTACGAGAAGGAGTACATGGATGTCTACTACAAGGATTACAAGAATACAAACATGTACCAGAACAACGACTACATGTACATGAAGGACTGGAAGATGTGGCAATGGTGGAAACTGATGGGTTTGGGCGAGCGCTTTTACAGTGAGAACAAGTTCATCCTCCGTGAGAACATCTACGAGTTCAACCAGGACACCAAATGGCAACAGATGATGAAGGATCTGAAGGTCTGGTATATGCCAGTCGACTACAGTCGCGATCTTAACATGTACAACGAGGAATCCAAACTGTCCTACTTCACCGAAGACTTGGGCTGGAACGCATACTGGTACTACCTGAACTTGGACTACTCCTTCTTCCTGGACGGCAACACCTTCGGCCTGAAGAACGATCGTCGTGGTGAGCTGTGGCTGTACACCGTCCACCAACTGCTCTCCCGCTACTACATGGAGCGTCTGTCTCATGGCTATGGCGAAATTCCCGAGTTCTCATGGTACAGCCAGATCGAGATGGGCTACGATCCTCAGCTGATCTACTACAATGGCATTGGCTACAGCTACCGCAAGAACTACTACGAGTTGGAGACCTACGGCAACTTCAAGATGCTGGACAAGATCACCGGCTTCATGACGCGTGTGCAAAACATTATTGACATGGGCTATTATAAGACCGCCGATGGACACATGATCGATCTACGCAAACCTGAATCCGTTGAGTACATTGGCAACATGATGCAGGGTAATATTGACAGCATGGACAAGATGTTCTACCAGTTCTGGTACATGTTTGCCCATATGTACTTCGCCGATGCCGACTACTACCAGATGGAGGTGTACCCCAACGTGATGCTCAACTTCGAGACCATGATGCGTGATCCCATGTACTACATGTTCTACAAGTCGATCGCCCAGATCTACTTCAAGTTCATGCACTATCTGCCCAAATACACTAAGGAACAATTGATGATGCCCGGCGTCACTCTGAAGAATGTGGAAGTCAGCGAGCTGGTCACCTACTTCGATCTGGTTGACTTCGATGTGACCAACCTAATGAACGACAAGATGGTGTTCCATGACGGCAAGTTCGTTTGGGATAAGTCGCTATACGCTCGCCAGATGCGCCTTAACCACAAGCCCTTCACCTACACCTACACTATTGAGTCCGACAAACCCGAGAAGGTTGTTCTGCGTGCATTCATTGGACCCAAATTCGACGAGTTCGGCCGCATGATTTCGCTCACAGAGAACCGCATGAACTTCATGGAAATCGATGAGTTCTACTACGAACTGAAGGCTGGCACCAACATGATCACCCGCAAGTCCAACGACTTCTACTGGACCRTCAAGGATCGCACCACCTACAGCGAACTCTACTACTACGTAATGATGGCCTTCGATGGCAAATACGATTTCCCTCTGGACATCAGCGAGGCTCACTGCGGTTTCCCAGACCGCCTCATCTTGCCCATGGGCTGGAAGAAGGGCATGCCTATGCAAATGTTCTTTATGGTTATGCCATACAGCGCACCCGCTAAACACGAACAGTTCTCCACCTTCGACTACACCTACTCTTGCGGCATTGGATCCGGCGCCCGCTTCATCGACGATATGCCTTTCGGATATCCCTTCGATCGTGAGATCGATGAATACGAATTCTATGTGCCCAACATGTACTTCAAGGATGTTCCCATCTACCACGTTGACACAATGGAGCCGTACTACAAATACAAGGGCTATACCAACTATGGTCAATTCGACTATACTTTCTTCCGTGACTACTACACCAAGTACTTCAAGCACTAAAGTGAATCAAGGAGGAAATATAGAGGCACTTTTGATGATGACTACCGAATTCATATGTGGAAATGATTGCAAGAGTTAGATTGTAAGCTGAGCAAAAAGTGAATAAACTTTCGAAAAACACAAGCAAATGCATTTTCTTTTCAAATTTTCTATTGAGATGCAATTTATGAAATCCGTAGAAATACAAAATATTAGCAAATATTCTACTTATCTTTTACCCTTTAGGAATGAACCAATAAAAAATTTAAATATTCACATGTCTTATTATTTTAATACAAAAGTCTGCAGTAAAATATTATTTGCAAACTAAACCTTTTTCATAAAATTCGGCTATGTTCACTAATATACCACTTCAACTCACCACCACGGCTATTAAATTATGTTGCATACTTTGAGGAGCTATATTTCATGAAAATGTTCTTGCAATTCTCATGCAGTTCTGGCAGCACAAACATGGTATGCCAAAGTGAGAGCAGAGAAAAGCATACTTACCTGGCGTAGAGGTTAACCGTGATCACGAAGGCGGTTCCTCCGGAGTGAGGCTTGGTCATTGCACATTCGGCTGAGTTGACCTCTGCGATTATTCCTAATGTGAATAACTCGTGCGTGTAATTTTTGGTAGCCGGGAATGGCGTTCGCGCCGTCCCGACATATATAAATACAT